CCATCCTCTCTCAGCCTCCTCTCCCCTCCCCCAGGCGGGCCACGTAGGTGCAGGCAGAGTCGCTGTTGGCCTGTATCTGGGTTCCCCAAACCTCCCAGGGGAGGGGCAGCAAGAAGGAGGGCTGGAGATGGTGGATGCTAGGAGGGGCTGGGAAATGGCTGCAGCAGGGAAGAACCAGGCCTGAATGAAGTCTGCATCTGGACAGGGTGCGGAGAATCTAGTTCATTTCCCGCCTTTCCCCGCCCCAGCCCAGGACCGAAGCTTGGCCTTCTTTCTGGGCAGTAGGAAGCTGGCTGAGAGGCTGATGCGGCGGCTGCCTGCACCATCTAGGATCTCCTCTAACCGTCAGGACCAGGACCCTTTGATAAACGAGGTCATTGAAGTGACTTGCTGGGCTGAGACCCAGGTCAGCCCTCTCCCAAGTGGAAGCTGCCATGTTTGACAGCCACCTGGTCCTCATCGGCACCCTCAGCTTGTGTCATTGAGCATCACTCTCCTTACGGAGTCCCTGCTGGCACCGCAGGCCCCTGGGTTCTCCTTACAGTTTAGGGCAGCCCTTCTCAGTTCCTTTGTGCACTTCTTTTCCTACCTCCGACAAGTCTCCAGAGCTTTGAGCTGGGCCCACTTGTCTTTCCATTCAGACACTGTCCCTGGGGGAGCTCAATGTGTGCCCTCCCCAACATGGGGCTTCAGTGAGGAGCCCCCCCACACACACCCCAATAAACACAGAAGCAGCTCTCTTCAGAGGCGGAAACCTAGCAGGCAATGGCCTGGATATCTGCCCCAGGATGTTACACATCTCAGGGATGGCACCATCATCTGCCTGGCCCGTGGGAATGTGCATGTAATGGGACCAGGTGTGTGGGTCAGAGGGAGGACTGAAAGGAGGGAGGTGTCCATACACAAGACTCCTTTAGCCTCAGTGTGGCCCTTTCTTGTCTGCAGGGCCCTATTGCAACGCACAGGGCAGCAAGCTCTGTGTTGGGCCGGGAAGAATCCTCACAGTGGTGTGTGTGTGTGTGTGTGTGTGTGTGTGTGTGTGTGTTTTATAGAGGTTGCTTCTGGAGCAGAAATCCCTGGTTCTGTTGGGAGAGGGGTGAGGAGACAGGCCTGGGGTCAGTTGCTCAGAAAAATTTGGACGTCATCAATGCTTCCTGTGGTGATTCTCTGTAAGAATCAAGCTGAGCTCCTTTAAAGGGAGCCCTTTAACAATGACCTTTAGAGGGGGTTAGTATCCCTAAGGGTCATAAAAATCTTCAAGAGGGATGAGTGTTCCTTGGAAGCCAACTTTGGTGAGGGCAATAGGTGGAGCTCCCCCTACACCCCCAGATCCCTGAGGGTTTGGGGGTTTTAAAGGGGAAGCTATCATGGCCCAGACACTGGGATCCTCACAGGACACATCTCTAATCAAGGCAGAACTTCAGCCCCTCGGCAGCCCCTAGTCTTCTTCCCGGGCCCACCAGCAACACACTCATAGCTCACAAGACTGACCTCCTCACTCCCTTCCCGAGGTCCTGGGATTCAGAAAACTGGTCACCTGTGCCTGGTCCCAGTTTTCTGCCCAGAGACCTGCTACATCCCTTGGTCAAACCCCCATGCAAATCAGGTTCCTTTCATTCAAGGACCTCTGGAGGGGCTTACTCTGGTTCTCCAGCCACACATGTGACACCCCTGCCCATCCCCTACTCGGGCTGTCTGAACTCCATGGCCACTTTCTCTGAGAAACTTTCCTGGCTTCCCCCTCCAGGTATCTTCTCAAACCAGGCCTTTAGCTGTCCCGTGCCCTCACACAACCTTTACTTGTCATAACACTGGGACTCCTTTACCACAGTGACTTCAATGATCAGCACTGAGCAAGACACAAAGTGGTTGCTAAGGAAAAGTCTGCTGTGTGTGGGAATGAATGGGGGGCTTGAGGTACTGTTTTCGAAGCCCCGGCTGAGCTGTCCTGGCTACTGAGAATCAGCAGATGTCCTGGGACCCTTCTGATCAGAGGCCTGGTTTTCTCAAGAAGCATGACATCTGGATGAGCTTTAGGACCGAGCCTTTGGCAAACAACTGTTACCCAGAATGACCCTGAGCCAGCAGGGACCCTGCTTCTGTTTTCGCTACAGGCTTCAGCTCTGACCCACCCAAGGGCTCAGCCTGCTGTGATTTGGTACTGGTTTCTAGGCTTTCATGGGACCTGACCTGGAAAATAATAGAAAATATACATTATATGTTGGTCTTTGTTCCCAATTCCCGGCATAGAACTCCTAAAACACTTAAAATTTCTTGGGTGATGCTTTTGTTTTAATGAGGTGATTCTTGGTGGGCTCCTGGATAGCTTCAGGAGAAAGATGAAGCCACGAGTAGAAGCTTGGAACTTTCAGCTTCACCCCATCTTCTGAGAAGAGGTTGAGTTAATGATTGATCATGCCTACATGATGAAACGTTCATAAAATCCCAAAAGCATGGGGGTTGGAGAGTTTCTGGGTCGCTGGAGCTATTGGAAGGGTGACACGCCTGGAGAGGGCAAGAAGCTCTATGGCCCTTCCTCTGTATCTGAGTATTCATCTGTAGCCTCTGTCCTTTTATGGCAAACCAGTAATGTGTTTCCAACTTCTGTGAGCACAGAAGCTCCACGCCCCTTCCTTCCATCTGGATGTTCATCTGCATCCTTTATCCTTTTGTGACAAACCAGTAATGTAAGTGTTTCCGACTTCTGTGAGCCATTCTAGCAAATTGTTGAGACTAAGTAGGGGGTGTGAGAACCCCAATCATACCCAGTCAGAAGTACAAGTGACAACCTGGGACTCAAAAGGTTGCATCTGAATTGTGTATGTGTTGTGCGGGGGTGGGGAGCAGTATTATGAGACGCCCTTACCCTGTGGGAGCTGACTATCTCCAGGTAGATAGTTGAGTTAACTTGTGAGACATCCAGCTCCCACACGTCAGGTGTCAGAAGGGAAGAGCAGGAGGGTGAGAGAGAAGTGTCCTATCCTCCATCTCCTAACATCTCCCACCCACTCCCATCTCACGCTGACAACTCAAAGGAGCTGGGAATTGCTCAGATTCCTCTTGCCTGGATGGGTAATGCAGAGTCCTGCATGCCCACTTTCAAATGACAGCCATGGCTGGTGTGCTCAGTGGTTAGAATGTTGGCCTGTGCACTGTAGGGGCACGGGTTGACTCTTGGTCAAGAGCATGTATCCAGGTTGTAGGTTTGATACCTGGTCCTGGTTGGGACAGGTGTGGGAGGCAACCAATCAATGTGTCCCTCATATCAATATGTCTCTCTCTTTCTCTGCCTTCCACTCTCTAAAAATCAATGAAAAAAATATCCTTGGGTGAAGATTAACAACAACAACAAAATGTGCATGATGTGCGCGCACACACACAAATGGAATCAGAGAAAGACACGGCTAAGCCAGAGGGATTTGTTTTATTAGATTCCAGCAAGACTATACAATACTGTTTCATGCAGATTAAATGTGAGACTTTGCTACCCTGGGGAGGGAGCACTTTCACTGCCACCTCTTTCCTTGGTGTCAAGGGGTGAGTGTCAAGGGGAGCTCTCAATATATTCTGCATGGGGGACAGTTGGGATCGTGACTGGGGGTGGAGGTGAGACAGTGGACAGCTGCGGGCCCTTTGGACCTTGAGTCTTCAGAGGTCCAGGGACCACAGGACCTTGGTCCTTGGCTGGTGGTGGCACTAGAGGATCTTGATCTTTCAGAGGCACCGAGATGATAGGAACTGGATTCTTCACAGGCTCAAGGACCACAGGACCTTGGTTCTTTGGGGGCTCGGGGATCACAGTGCCCCGATCCTTGACTCGTTCTGGGACCATAGAACCTTGATTCTTTACAACTACAGAATCATGACCCTTCAGAAGCTCTGGGGCCACGCCACCCTGACCCTTGACTGGCTCTGGAACCACTGAACCTTGGTTCTTTGCAGGCTCAGAGAGCATAGGACCTTCTTTCTTTACAGGTGCTATGAGCATGGCACTTCGATCCTTTAGATGCTCTGGGACCATAGGACCCTGATCCTTGACAGGTGCTGGGGCCACAGGACCTGGATCCTTTGGAGTCTCTAGTACCATGGAACCTTGATCCTTAACTCTTGCTGGAACCATTTGATTATTTAGAGACAACGGGAACAAGGAACCTTGGTCCTTGACTGGTGCTGAGATCCCAGAACCTTCATTCTTTAAAGGCCCAGGGACCGTGTGATCTTGATTCTTAACTGCTGTGGGGACCATGGAAGCTTTATCCTTCAGAGGCCCTGGGACCCCAGGAGCTTGATCCTTCAGAGGCCCTGGGACCCCAGGAGCTTGATCCTTCAGAGGCCCTGGGACCCCAGGAGCTTGATCCTTCAGAGGCCCTGGGACCCCAGGAGCTTGATCCTTCAGAGGCCCTGGGACCCCAGGAGCTTGATCCTTCAGAGGCCCTGGGACCCCAGGAGCTTGATCCTTCAGAGGCCCTGGGACCCCAGGAGTTTGATCCTTCAGAGGCCTTGGGACCGCAGGAGCTTGATCCTTCAGAGGCCTTGGGACCGCAGGAGCTTGATCCTTTAGAGACTTTGGAACAGCAGGGCCTTGATCCTTTCGTGGCTCTTGGATCACAGGGCCTTGATCTTTCAGAGGCCCCAGGCCCACGGGACCTTGTTTCTTGTCTGGCTCTGTGGCTACAGGACCTCGATTCTTATGTGAGTCACTGGTGGGATGGACCTGGCTCCTGCAGAGAAGAGAAAGGTGGTCACTGTGAGGGCCAGAGCTCAGGCCAGGGATGGGGCAGAGCACAGATTGCCTGTGGAGCCTGGGCAGGGCAGCTCTTGCTGGAGAGCCAGGAGGAGAATCTGACTTCCATGCTCTTAGTATAGAATGTGGGGTCAGGTGAGGGGCAGGTTCAGGAACCAGTCATTCAGTGTTTGCCAATTGATTATAACCTGCACGTGGCACAGAGGATGGCACCCAGTGAAAACGGCAGTGCTCTAATGGGACGCAGGGTCCTCCAGCGGGCAGCCCAGCAGCCCGTCCACCTCACACTCCACCGAGGCCGCTCTTCCTTCCTCCAGGATAGCTGGGCCCATCCTGGGAGCCCCTCTTAGCTGTCTACTCAGACAACCCTATAGGCCACCGTGCTCTTTCCTTGTCCTCATGGCCTTCTTCTTCTTGAGCCCCTTGTTAAGGGCTAACTTTGGGGAGGGGCTAGGGGCCTATGGCATGCCAAGAAAGAGGGCAGTGGGAATGTCCCCCTTCCCCCATCCCTTGCAAACAGAAAGGTGTTTTTATCACTGACATTGTTTAGAACAGCCAAGCACATGGTGATAATAATAAGCAGACCAGCTTCTAATTGGTTTTATTACTGCTTTTAAATTCTCTATGGACAATGTACCCGATCGTTGCCTGTACCACTGCTATTGCTGCACCTGTGCTAGATGACGGGCTTGGACTCCCCTCGCTGCATCTCACTTCCAGCTCCTTCTACTCTACCTGGGCCCTTGTCCACTTTTACTCCAAGGCTCTGGGACTGATTTCCCGGTAGCCAAGAACCCAAGCCTCACCAGACTCCTCACAGGCTGTTTCATCTACCTCACTACCTCACCCCATCCCTTGAGCCACCCACATGGTGGAGAGCAGGTGGCATCACTGACACCAAGGGCAAACATTGCCCCACTCAGACATGCCAGTCTGGTTTGGAATGCACACTCCTTCCTTGCAGGCCGGGCTGAAAGTCACCACTCAGGAGTGGCCACTACCCAGTGTCACAAGCCCTTGCTCATTCCACCCACAGTTCATTCCACTTTCTAAATCACTGCTCTCCATAGCTCATTGCAGCAACCCAGCAACCCTGCTAAGTATGCAGGGAGGGTTTTATCACCCTTTCTTGTTAGAGGGAGAGACTGAGGTCCAGAGAGGGCAAGTGATATGGAAAGTTCGAGGATCTGCGTGACCCCTAGTCTGCCTTCTGGAACCTGGTTTCGTTCCCCTATAGTGCCTGGCACTTAGTAGGTGCTCATTATACTTTGTGGCCACTGAAGTCTTTAAGGTTCAAACCACCTTAGCATTTTAATAGTTCCTATTGGCTTTTAGGACTGTGTCTTACTTGCTCATTAAAGCTGGTCCAATAAGACCTCTACTTGGTAACACTTTCTTAGCTCACTATGGTTTCATCTCTCTGGACCTTAAGTTTGTCATCTATTTCATTGGACATAATGACATTTATTTAGAAATTTATGATGATTAGAGATCATGTACCATGACATTGCTATATAATATTACAATTACTCTTCTATTTACTTAGAAGTAAAGTTACACATGGTTGGACTTTTAAAATTTGGACATGCCATCCTGATTCAGAAACTTCTTACTGGTTAGAATCTTGAGCTTCCAGGAGACTGACATCTCTCAGCAGCAGAGTACACGGCAGCACAGGCAGCCTATCATCTAGTCCCTCTTGATGTCTCTAAGCATCAAAGTGGATGGAGAGAAGCCAGGGTGGCTCCCTGGCTCAGCACGACACAGAGCACAGCTGCTCTGGCCAGATGGACACAGCTGGCCACCATCAGTGAGACCTTAGTGTTTGTGGAGAGAGCCAGCAAGGCCACCAGAGGCATACAGAACCCAAGGGTGGGATTAAAATACTTCTAGTGCTTGGTGGATGGCCAGAGAGGAAAAGTAAAAACCTAATTCAGAATTGAATCAAGCAGGAAATGGATTAGATGAACCCTCTCAGGTAATGAATGGGGGGATCATCCTGCAGAGTGATCAAGCTGAGACAGGAGACAAAAAAGGTGACCAGGGCTTGACTTGATCTCGGGGGCTTGGGTTGCAAAACCTATTCCATTGGCAGGGCATGGACTCAGCATCCCCTGATGCCATGGAGAGTAAAAGGAGGGCCAGCTCCACAGTGGAGTCACCGAATACATTTCCCTGAGTGCCGCAGTGGCTCTCAGGTCACACCCAAATTGTATTTAGTGAGTACTCTTAGCGAGTTGTAAACTAACTCAAAATTTGCTTGGATATATCACCTTACATTGCTTTGCTTAGTAAACTTGTTTCTTTAGCGAGTGTTTCTGGTCATGGGAAGGTTTAGAATTAATATTAGAAATGGTAAATTAAATGAAATCTATAGTTTTACCTTTTTTTGGTACTATGTATAGGAAGAATCCGTGTAGAGTTAGTTTGAAAGTATTTGTAATATTTAAAAATAATTTGGCATATTAGAATATGTAACAGATTAGCTTTGTGGTTCCAATATAAAATGTGCAATGGAATCATTTAGACTAGTGATTTTAAATGGAAAGATATAAGGCAATTCTATAAATTTTGTAAACAATGATGAAACTTATGACAATCCAATAGTTTTCATATTTTAAGCTTAGTTTATTTTAAATTATTTATAAGTTAATTTAAATTATTCAGGGCAATTAAGTTATAAAATCCCCCTTAAAATGTTTTGATTAAAATTTACTAGGTTTTTAAATGTTACTTTGATCTATTAAGCATTCATTTTTATTTTCATTATTACTATTTTTAATTGATTTCAGAGAGGAAGGGAGAGAGGGATAGAAACATCAATGATGAGAGAGAATCATTGATTGGCTGCCTCCTGCACGCCCCCTACTGGGGATTGAGCCTGCAACCCAGGTGTGTGCCATGACCGGGAATCAAACTGTGATCGCCTGGTTCATGGGTCGATGCTCAACCACTGAGCCGCACTGACTGGGCAAGCATTCATTTTAAAAACCACAGCAGCCTCAGTTGGTTTTCCTATGAACAAAACCGCCCTCAAGGCCAACATAACACTCTCATTGATGCTGACTGGCCACTACTTGGTTCCACACTGCCTGTCAGCATCCCAGCTGTTAAATGCCCCACCACTCGCAGAAAGGCTGGCAGAAGCAGCACTCACAGTGCCCTCTGTGTGAAGGAGACAAAGCTGCGCCCCGGCGGGAGGGGGGACTGGGCACATGGTTGGTCAGTGGAGATGGGCTGGATTCAGGCCCACGCAGCCCACAGGCCAGTTGTCCTTGGGCATGGCCCAACCTGCACAACCAAATCTGGCAACTTGAGCCACATGCAAATCTTTTCAAGGCAGCATATGACACAGACCCCTCTCCTCCCAGCCTGTGTACCCTCTCAGAGACTAAAATGGCCTGCTGGGTTTATCTCAGCTTCTGTGCTGCTTATTGCCTGAAAGGTCTTGGGCAATTACTCCACCACAATAGATCTCAGTTTCCCCATCTGTAGAATGGGGATAACAGTACAAATGTCAGGGACTATTATCTGAAATCATAATTCTTGATTATTTGTAAAGTGCTTTGGGGCATCGCATGAGTAAGTCCAGTACTATAATAGCTAGTAACAGTTTACTAAATGCTCACACACTGGATCCTCATAGCAGCCCTGGAGGAAGACAGGGCAGGTGGAGGCCAGCCTTGCAGCCTTACCCTCCTTGCACTGTCCTCTGGCCACTGTTTTCATTTCTTTGTGTCTGCTACCTGGATTGCTCTCTTTCATCAACTTTTCCCTGTCTATCCTTGATGGCTTGGCTCAGATTCCACTTCTTCACCAGGCCTCCTGGATACATCTCTCCACATGGGTTTTGTCCATATCTCCCTTACGGCAGCACCATTTTACAGTCTCTCCCCACATTCATAGGGCCCCCCATTACATGTCAGGTCTCCCCCATTAGATTATGAGCTCCCTGAAGGCCGGGGCCATCCTCATGGCCTGCAGCCCCAGTGCCCAGCACAGTACCTGGAACAAAGAAGGTCAAATGGAAAAAGTCACAAATTATTGTTGCTGAAACCTGGTTCATCAGCTACCCCGTGGCCCCAGCCAGAAACCCAGAGTCACCCTGAAGACCTTCCTCTCATCAAAACCTCCACCCAACTATCAAGAACCATCTGCTCCAGCTCCTAACATGTATCTCTTGAATGGTCCCATTTCTTTCCCTCCCTCCCTTCCCCTCACCAACTGTGCCCTTATTCCTGTGGACTTCCTAACTAGTATCCCCTGCTCCTCATCCAATTCGTTTTTCATACAGAAATCAGAATCATCTTTCAAAAAAGCATATCCCTTCCCTGCTTACAACCCTCCAGTGGCTTCCCCTTGCTCTCAGAATAAAGAGTAAAACCTGTTACATACCCCACCTGGCTGACCGGCCGGCTCTCCCCTCCTTCCCAGCGTCTGTGCCCCAGCCTCGCAGGTCTTTGTTCTGTTGCTCAGTCTGCCCTGCTCCTTTCCATTTACGGCTTAGCACATGTTGCCACTCCTGGAACATTCTCTTGCTCCTTCGTCAATTGGTTAATGCCTACTCATCCTCCATCTCCCAGCTCCCTGGAGTGCATTCCCAGGGAAGCCTCCCCTGACCCACAGATGTGACCAGGTCCCCTGCTACAGGCTCTCCGCGTCCCTTTCTTTCATACCCTTTCTCACAGTGAATTACTTCATTCTTTTGGATTAATGTTTCCCCTACCAGACTGAAGCATTCAGAGGGCAGGACCATGTCACATATCTGCATATCACTGTATTCTCTACCTAAAACAGTACCTGGCTCAGGGAAGGCCCTGACTAAATAAATACCTGGTCAATGAATGAGTAAATGAGATTCTATTCTGTGCCAGGCTCTGTGCTATTTGCAAAATGCAATATTTCCAGGTTACACGAGACACCCTGAGTCTTAGGAACTTGATTTTCTGCCCTTCCTCTCGTTTCCATGGAGACAGG